ATGTATACGTACATGGATCTATATATATATATATATGTGTATATGTAGGTTCATATGTTTGCGTAGGTGTACGTGTATTCGTACGTGTATGTGTATGTGTATGTAATGGTGTATGTGTATTTGTACGTGTATGTGTACGCGTAGTTGTATGTGTTTGTGTGTGTATTTGTAGGTGTGTGAATGTATATAGGTCTGGGTGCATGCATGCATGTATGTATGTATGTATGTGCATGTATGCATATATATATTTATATATATATATATATGTATGCATTCATATATATATACATATATATATATGTATGTATATATGTTTATACAAACATATACATATACACACATACATACATGCATACACACACATATATATAACAAATATGTATATGTATATGTATATGTATATGTATATGTATATGTATATGTATATGTATATACATGTATATGTATATGTATATGTATAGGTATATATATACATATATATATATATATATATATATAATATATATATATATATATATCGCCCCCCCTGGCCTGGGCCGTCCCAGCCCGCAACAATTCTTATACGCTCGCTGATGCCCCCCCCGTTTCGTCTCCAGAGGCGGCCCAGCGAGGCCAAGAGGGTGCCAAAATGAGCCAAGAGGGTTCCAATAGGCACCCAAGACGGCGCAAAAAGGCTCCAAGACGCTCCAAGAAGGCTCCCAGAGCATTCCCAAGAGGGCCTGAAGAGGCCAAAATCAGTAAATTTCGATGGGAAAACTTACATTTTTAGCATCTGCGCCTTTGCAGCTTTCACGGCTGTGAAGACGGTCCAAGAGGCTCCCAATACTCTCCCAAGACGGCCCCGGAGGATCCCATGAGGCCCCCAAGGCGGACCAAGCGGGCGCCTAGGCGGTCCAAGAGGCGCCCAAAACGGCCAAAAGTTGGCCCCAAGATGGCGTCCAAGACGGCCCAAGAAGGCCCAGAGTCGCCCGAGACGGTTCAAGATGGCCCCGAGATGGTCCTAGAAGGCTCCGAGACGTCCCAAGAGGCCTGCCAAAGCACTCCCAAGAGGGCTCCAAGAGGCCACAATCGTTAAATTCCTATTGGGAAGCGTATATGTTTAGCATGTGCGACGCTTGGGCCTTCACGGGCTTGAAGACGGCCCAAAAAACTCCGAAGACTTGCCCAAGAGTGCCTAAAACAGTCCCAAGAGGCCCTCAAGACAGACCAAACGGGGGCCAAGACGGCCCAAGGGCTGCACAAGACGGCCCAATTTCGCCCCCTAACGGGCCCCAAGAAGGCCGAAGAAGGCCCCGAGTCGCCCAAGACGGCCCAAGATGGCCCCGAGACAGTCGAAGAAGGCTCCGAGACGTCCCAAGAGGCCTGCCAGAGCACTCCCAAGAGTGCACCAAGAGGCCAAATTTATTAAATTTCTTTCGGAAAACTTGCATTTTTAGCATGTGCGCCTTCGCAGCTTTCACGGCTGTAAAGACGGGCCAAGAGGCTCCCAAGACTCCGCCAAGACGGCCCCGGAGGATCCCATGAGGCCCCCAAGGCGGCTCAAGGGGGCGCCTAGACGACCCAAGGCCCGACTAAGACGGCTGCAGGAGGGGTCCAAGAGGGGAACTCCGACTCGAGGATTGCAGTCTTCCGCCCAAAGCACCTCCCAGGAGGCCCCAAGAGGCCCCAAGAGGCCCCAAGAGGCCCCAAGAGGCCCCAAGAGGTGCCCAAGAGACCCCTGGGGGTCGAGGTCCGAGCGAGACCGAGGGGTTTCCTGCCGGCGGGGCGGGCGAGAGACAGAGAGAAACAGAGACACCCCCACCCCGACGGCCTCCAAGAGATTTCCCAAAGGGGTCCAGAAAATGTCTTCCTGCGGGTCGAGGTCCGAGCGAGACCGGGACTGCTCCGGGACTTATCCTCTCACATTGCCACGCCGACAGCAAAAAGCCGAGCCTCACAGACCCATCCTTCCCGGCTCCATTCCCCCCTCTTTTCCCTCCTTTTCCTCCTCCCTCCTCCTCCTCCTCCTCCTCCTCCTCCTCCTCTTCCTCTTCGCCCCCCCCTCTCCCTCCTCCTCCAACTCCTCCTCCCCCTCCTCCTCCTCTTCCTCCTCCCCCTCCTCCTCCCTCCTCCCTGCTCCTCCTCCTTCCTCATCCTCTCTTTGGTGCCCCAGAAAGATTGGTCACAAAATAGAGGTCTTCAATGTTTCACCATGACGCGTAGCTAGAACCTAAGCGCTCGTGGTTCTAATATATATATATATATATATATATACATGCCTACCCCGCCACCTCGCTCATATTAGAAGTCAGCGGCGTCAAGGATGCCTGTAGGGATCTTTCTGGGGTCCCCTCGAGGGCCTCGTGGAGGTGTTTTTGGGCCTCTTGGGGCCTGGTGTTGCCGTTTTGAGGTGGAGAGCTTGAAACGTCGATTCGTGTTCGTGTTCGTGTTCGGGAGCTTAGGGAGCTTTGGTTCGTGTTCGTCCGCCGGGCCCTCTCTTGGGCCGCAATTGGGGCGTCTTGGGGGCCTCTTCTGTCGTGTTTGGGCCCTGCTGGGCCGTCTCGGGGCCCTCTTGGGGGCCTCTCGGGCCGTCTTGGGGCGGCCTTTTGGCCCCCCAAAGGCGAGAACGCTAAGATCTTCCAAACACCTCCTCGAAATTTGCGATTTTGTATTATCGGGGACCTCTTTGGGGCCTGCGGGGTGGTGGAGACAGGCGTGGACCGCGAGCGCCTCGCGTTTTCCGGGCCAGGCGGCTAATTACGAGATCACATGGGGCCCTGGGCCCCGTCCACTTCGACCTCGTCTCGGCGCCGAGTGGCCACTTGTGCGCCCCTGTCGACGACTGCGACAAGCTCGAGCCGCACTCCGGGGGCTTGCCGCCCAGGCAGCTCGCGCTGCTGGCGGTGGGCAACGACGACCAGGATTCCGACGCCACCGACGGGCGCGAGATCCAGAAGCTGAAGGGCCAGCTCCTCAGCCCCAGCGCGCGGGCACCCTCGCGGGGCGCGCCCGGGGCCGCGGGCTACGACCTGGGCGCGTGCGCGGACGTCAGTCTCGCGACCTATGGTCGTGAACTGGTGTCGACGGGCGTGGCGGCCATAGCGCCGCTGGGCACCTGCCTGCGCGTCGCCCCCGTTCAGGAGTCGCCCGCAAAGGGGTCGACGTCGCGGGCGGCGTGGTGGGCCTCAACTTGCGCGGCGAGATCAAGGTGCTAATGTCCAACGCTGGCCTGCGGACGCGCGTGGTCGAGCAGGGCCATCGCTTCGCCCAACTCATCCTGGGGCGCGTCGCCAACGCTGCCGAGATCGTGGTCGCCCCCAACCTTTGCTCGACATCTCGTGGACCTGGAGGCTTCGGACACGTTGGCATGACGTCGTCAGCAAGACTCCACCGCGAGAGAGAGAGGCATCACATCCACGGCGTCACTCGGTGTCTGTGTCATCGACGGCTCTAAGGAGCTGCCTCGCAGGGAGGCGGCTCGGCTGGCCTGCCAGGCTGTCTCCGCCGACGTGACCCGCCAGAAATGGGCAGCAGCCCCGGCCTGGGTCCTAGAATGAGGAAGTGGCACAACACTAGCATTGCACGATGATGGATTCGACGTCGTCCGCACCGCCGACTTTGAGGGTGCTATCCAGACGCTGTCCGACAGCATGTTCCACAGCACCAACTGCAGCATGCTGTGGATCACGTGCGAGCGAGACTTTGGGCCCCGAGGCCAAACGCGGCAGCTTTGCATTCATGGTGCTCACCGGGACACCCATCAACGGCCAGCTGTGCCAGTGCGACATCAAGCTAGAGGAGCGCGTGGACGATTGGGCGACCACCATCTCCACCGCGATCCTGTCGTCGAGGCCCGCCCCACCACTTCCTCTATGTCCTCCACGTCCCTTTCCTACTCCGCCACTTCGTCCACTTCCTCAGCTCGGTTGCCGCGGCTGCCGCTCCCGCGCCCGCGGCGGCTGGTGACGCGGCCGCGGTGCGGGCCGAGGCCGTGGCGGCGGCGGCCGCGGCGGCAGTAGCAGCGCCGACAGGCGGCGCGGAACGCGCCGCGCCGGCGGCTGGCGGCGGCGGCCGGCCGCGGGCCGAACTGAGCCCAGAAGGCCGGCGGCGGCGGGAATCGCGAGCCTCGCGGCCGCCGCCCTTCGCTGCAGCCGCCGTCGGGCAGTGCGCGAGGGCGAGGGGCGCCCGCCAGTGGCGCCGAACATGGCGCTGGGGTGGGGCCCAGGACGAGGCACCCGTTCCCAGCCCCCCCCAGGCCCGCCCGAGGTCAGGGCCAACCTCTGGCCTTGGGCGCACGGCTGACTCGGCCCACTTTGAGCCAATGGCTTGGGCCAGAGGCTACGGACACGCGCGCATTCACATACGCACGCACACACGCACGCACACACACAAGCAACACAAACAGCACACTCAAAAACACACAAACAAGACACAACCAACGCACACGAACAACCCCCACACAACACACAAACGACACACAAACAACACACACAACACACACCACACACAACACACAAACAACACAACACACAACACACAACTTACAAATAATACGCAAACAACACACACACACACTACAAGCAACACGCACACAACACAACCACCCCAAAAACAACACACAAACGGCACACACCACACAAACAACCCACACAGCACACATACACTACGGTATAGACACGTGCTATTGTTACATATCAAGATGTATTGAACACTTTCGTACAGCCTTTGGTGGGTGGGCATCGATCGAGGCAAGCAGATCTCTGCATGCTTGTTGTTGTCAGAGGGTGCGCGGCTTGTGAGACTCCAGTGTGTGTGGAATCATTCTCCAGAAAGAAGACGGGCAGAAGGGTGGGTGCTTGTCCGATATTCTTCCCCTGTACGATGTTCTTGGTGTTCGCAGCGTGCTGTACAAGGTAGCATGAAGGGCAGCATAGTGCAGAGCAAATGCATGATCGCACGCTCATGAACTTGATGTGTCTTCTAGTTGCTCCTCAATTTCGTTTCCTTTCTTCGCTTTTCAGCGCCGTCGCCTCGACTCGAATGGCCACGGTGGTGGAGAAGATGGCCGAGCTGAACATGTGGAAACGATCGGTGTCGGAGGCATCCATTGACAATTTTCGTAGTGTCTGTCCATCCCATTGCTTGTTACATCACCTTCGTTCAGAATCATTTCTCCTTTCCTATATGTTCGTCGATCCCTCCTTGCCCACACGCTTTCATTCTTCCAGCCGTTGTCATTGGAAGACGGCTGGGCCGTACTCGAGCAGCGAGATTCATCTCTCATCGAGGCTTTGGCTTGGATGTGATGAAACTCATTTCTCTCTCTCGCTCTTTCTCTATATGTCTTTCTTTATTCGCTCCCCTTATGCTCGGCGCTTTCCAGCGCCAAAGCGATCTCAACTCGTCCGAACTTATCAAGACCTGTTGAGCTCGGTGACGTACGCGAATAATACTTTGGGCTGGATGGCAACCGTATCCCGAGAATAGATGTCTTCAACACGAGGTAGCGCGTTCAATTTCTGATATTAGTTTCCCGCCGCTTGAATCCGCACCGTTACCATATTGCGAAGGCCTTGCGGCCGGTGCCGCAGACCCTGAAGGAGAACGTCGACGCAGACGGCGGCGGTGGCGGTGGCGGCGACGACGACGACACTGACGTGGGCCCGAGTCCTCAGGGATGCTTCTGAGGGTCTCTTGGGAAGGCTCTCGGGTGCCTTTGGGGAGGACTGTTGTTGGGGTCTCTTGGGAGCCTCTTGGGGGCCTCTTGGGAGCCTTTTCGGGTGTCCTGGGGTCCTCTTGTGGGCTTTTTGGGGCCTTTGGGGAACCTCTTGGGGCCTCATTGGAGCTTCTCGGGGCCGAGGGCTTGACATGTTCGTTCGGGTTACCCGTCAAGGCACGCTCTTGGAGCTTTTGGGTTTCTTGGGCCGTATTGGAGGCGTTTTGGGCTGTCTTGGGGTTCTCTTGGGATGTTTTGGAGCGCTCTTGGAAGCCTTTTGGGCTGTCTTGGGGCGATCTTGACGGCCTCTTCGGCTGCCTTGGAGCGGCGGGAAGCAGAATTGGCGAGAACGCCCAAATCTGTCAAACACCTAAGGACAATACATGATTTTTGCTTCTTGGGGCCCTCTCGGGAGTGCCCTTGGAGGCCTTTTGGGGCCCCCTTGGGCACCGTGTGGAAGAGTCTTGAAAGTCCGGGGGTTTCTTCTTGGAGGTCTCGTGGAAAATGTATGGGGATATCTTTGGGCTTCCGGGACCGCGCGGTGACCGCGCGAGGGTTTCGCAATCGCGCGGGGGGAAGCGTATTTGAGTGGCGACCCCTCCCACCCCCGGGATCTCCCCTCCCCAGCGCGGGGAAGGGATCAAAGGGAAGGGGCTTCCCTTCCCTTCGATTCGACTACGACATTACGAGGCTTTTATCTCGCTGACAGGCTTGAGGAGGGTGCAGGGAAATGGGGCGACGCAGATGACGACTGACGGAGGCGACGACTCGAACAGACAAACCCTTCGCACACGCCGACAGGGTCGGCGGATTTCCCTCGTAGTTCATTCGCCTTCCCATCGCTTCAACACCTCCCTTCCCTCTTCCCCTACCTCTCGCTCTCGCTCTCGCAGTCTCTTTCGCACCACCCTCTCTGCCCATCTCTCTTTCACCCCCTCTCTCTCCCTACCCTTCCTTCTCTTCTTTGTCTCGTTGTGCTCTTCTCCCCTCTCGCACCTCCCCTTCTCCAGCCCTCTCACCGACGTTGCCCCGCAGGCGCCAGTGCCGAGAAGACGGCGTCCCTGGAGCCCCGCCCAGGGCTCTCGGACGAGCAGCGGGCCCGCATCGAGAGCAACCGGCTTCTGGCGCCGCGCGCCAGCCTGCCTTCCGGCCTGCAGGTCGGTGGCCGTCGCCAGGTTCGAGGTTTCAGACATGTTCGTGGATCCTGAGCGGTTTTTTGGTCTCGGGGTCCTTCTGTCGGTGGCGCGCCCATGGGGCAAGGGCCGATGAGTTGTCGTCGGGGATCGTTTCGTTTTCGAGGTTGGAGGTTTTTGGACGTTTTGTCCGGTTCTCAGCGGTTTTCCAGCCTCGGGACGCGTTCCAGCAGCTGCGCCTCGCCGAGAGCGTTATGGGGGTGCCCGGAGCGTCCGAGACGGCACCAGAGACCCGAGCTATGTCCCCAAACCAATTTCGGCGTTCTTGGCATCGCTCGGACGTGACGTGTGCTTTTTTGTCGGCGAGGACCATCGAGGAGTATGTTGAATCATTGTGCGAGAAGACAGATCTGCGAAACCGAAACTGCGCGGGGAGTGGATGTCCGAGCGATGGCAAGGTCTCCTTCCAGGCACCTCGGCTGCGCTGCACCCACTGCTCCACTGCGGTCTGTTGTCAGACCGAGCCCTTCCCCTCCATCATCACAGCATGTCACCATCACACCATGCCACCATGCCACCATCACATCATCACAGCATGCCACCATTCCACCATGCCACCATGCCACCATCACAGCATGCCACCATGCCACCCATCCATCATCACAGCATGCCACCGTCACACCATAACATCCTCCGCTGTCTGGCGCCCACCATCACGCAAGCCCCCCCCGGCGTAATGAGACAGCGCGCTGCCCTGCAGCAAGCACACTGCTCCCTCGCCTCGTGGCCCTGCGGCCCCTCCGTGCCCCGGATCGGCGGCGAGTCTGTGGGGGGGGGAGACCAGGGGCAGAAAGACAAGAAGTCGTTCTCGTCGGGGGTCGTTCCGTTTTCGAGGCTCGAGTTTTTTTTGGTTTTGGATGTTTTCGCAAGTTCTCGACGGTCTGCCAGCCTAAGAGTGCGCTCCAGCAGCTGTGCCTGGCCGAGAGCGTTCCTGGGGTACCTGGATCGTCCCGAACCTCCACTGGAGAGCTGAGTTATGACCGAAAGAACCACCAGGCGTCCAAGAAGAAGGGGTGTGGCTTCTCAGAAGGCTTGGAAGGCCTCTGGCCTTTGAGAAGTTTCTTACTCTTTCCTCGAATACACAGAAAACTTTCGGAAGGCAGGAGTGCTTCAGAGCAGCCCCGCTGGCTTATGAGAAGGCCTCCTCCCTCTCACTTCCCTCCCAGACCCGCCGCCGAATTTTTGGTCAAACCTTGGGTCTCCGGTGGGCATTCGGGACGCTCCAGGCACCCCCAGAACGCTCTCGGTGAGGCGCAGCTGCTGGAGTGCATCCCGAGGTTGGAAAACTGCCGAGAGCCGACGAACACGTCCAGAAACCTTGAGGAGCGTCGAGGCCGAAACAATCCCCTCGCAGGTGACTTCTCCCCCAATCCCCGAGTTTCGCCGGAAAAGTTTGGCCGCTCAGAAAAGAGGGAAACCCTGGGATACACCCCAAGGGGGCTATTCGGACGCACCACTATCGAGGATGAACGCCCCCCAATCGTATATTCCAGGGTTGGGGCTCAAATTTCTGCTTCATTCGAAAACCCCAAGATGTCTGGGATAGGTGTCGACATATGCCCTGCTATCCCCGACGAAAGCTCATCGGCCCTTGCCCTTTGGGCGCGCCGCCGACAGGAGGACCCCGAAGGGGGTTGCTTTCGTCTGACTGGCCGTGCGGGACGGCACAATTTCCCGGGGAATGTAGACAGGTACGTGCTGCTCCTCCCCCTGCCCGTCTCCTTCCCCCCTTTCCCCTGTCCTGTGCTCCCCTGGACATCGCGCCTGTCGACTCCTCTGATCCGCTTCGATCCGATCTCGATGGTTTCCGATTCCGATCTGACTCGACTTCGGATTCAGATTCGAATTCCGACTCCTTAACGGGTTGTACTAGCCTGCCGATTTCCGCCGATTCGACTCTTCCCACCTTGGCTGCTGATTTCCCGCCGATCCGATCCATTTCGATCTCCCGTCCGACTTATCGATTCGATGCAGGGATCTCCTGCCCTGGGTGCCCCGCCCTCGATCCCCGCGGTCCTGCCAAGTAGGGCGAAAACATCGGGCCGAGGCCACAGACCGTTCTCGCTTTCTAGCCCCAAGCGTCTATAGACACATTGGGTGTCGTTACGTACGTAGACACACTCGAGGTGGATGCGTCTACATACAACGCGGCCGTTGCGTTCGGCGCGGTACGAGGGCGGAGAAAGTGTCGGTCCGTCTACGTTATGTTCCTGTTCCAGAGCAGGTCCCGCACGGTACCCAACCCTGAGTGTCCCAGTGCCCCCCCCCTCGAATGGGCCTTCTGGCTGAGAATCCTGTCGCTCTGCGCGGTCAAGTGCGTCATTTCTCGGCACGCGACGCTGGTGCTGATGTTTGTCGCAACCTCCTCAGCAGCTTGAGCCTCGAAAGGGCCCTGCTCGTGGGCACGAAGAGGTATGCAGCTCCTCTGGCACCTCGTTGCAGCGCCGCTGGCTGAAACCCCAGAGATTGCCCCCCTGGGGAGAACTGCCCTCCGCCCGTGGAGCTTCTCTGTCTGGTCCGAGACTCGCTCTCTCGCCCTGTGCCTCATCCCCGGTGTCTCCGCTCTGTTTGCTCCTCTTCTGCTTTGATGGGTCCTTCTCGTGTCGAATCGACGCACGGACCCGCCTGTTCCAGTTCGCGGGCGACGACACAAGGCAGGGAATGGAAGAAGGAACATGGCATAAGCATACACTTCGGAGCTCCGCGCGGATTTCGTGGGTCGGCGCCTGGGCCGCCTGTTGTGCCTGCGACCGGTTCAGCTTGTGCGCTTTGCTTGCCGCCGCGCAGTGTGCTCATCGGAGTCTTCGATCCTTGCTTCCTCTTTCGAGCGCTTTGTTCATTATAGTGTGTCTATTCCGACTGGCGGGTTAACAGAGTCAACGGCGTGCAGGCGCAAACATGTTAGCCGCTGCGCTGACCATAGACGGACAGTCGCATGGGCGATCCCTGAGCCCCCACGAGACTAAATTGGATGCTCAAAATTTGGATGCGCAACGTCCAGCCAGGCGACTATCCTCTCATCGTCTGCGGAACAACTGAGTGTGATGCAGCAGAGTGTCGGCGCTCTCGGTGTTCCCATTCTGACTCGGCACCGTGTAATTTGTAGTGGCTCTCATCACGACGGGATAAGTCGGCTAGGTGGCAGGGGGCTAGAGGTCATCGTCCCTGGCGTGTGCATGCAGATGCATGCAGACACGCGTTCGCCCAGGCCTCTCTTGGGGCCGTCCTGGGCCGTCTAGGGGCCCTCATGGGCTGTCTTGAGGCCGTCGTGGAGGATTGTTGGACCAGTTAGGGGTCATCTTGGGCCTCTGTGGGCCCTCTTGTATCCCGCTTGCTAACATAAGCGGTTGAGGCCTGTTGGGAACATTAATGTTTATAGCCTCTTCCGGCCCTACTGTAGGACCCTCTTGTAGCCTGTCTTGGTGGCCTCTTGCGACGTCTTGAGGCCATTTTGGGACGTTTTGGGACCTTCTTGGGCCGTCTGGAGCTGCAGGAAGCCCAGAACGGTGAAGACGCCCATATCTTCAAGCAGTTATCGGAACATCAATGATTTTTCTGTATTCGGGGTTCTGGGTCGTCTTGTGGCTCTATTGGACGGTCTTGGGGTCCTGGGCCGACTTGTGACCATTACTGGGCCGTCCCAGAGGAGCCTTCGGCCGTCTTGGCGGCCTCGGTTGCCTGCCTCGGCTGTCTTGGATGCTCGGGGGCGCGGATCCGCTGTTTTCTGCGAGGGGCCGTGGCCTCGGATGCGTGGACATATATTGTTTTTGGCCAGTGATCGTGGCCCAGGAAGGGAGCGGGTGTGGTGCATGCAGCAGTCTGCGAGGAGAGAGTGGGTGGCCGTTGGAAGTTTTCAGAAGCGCAACCAGACAACACTTGGCACTCTACCACGCCTCAGCATGCCAGGGGGCACGGTGTTTCAGTTGCAGTTCGTGTAGGTTTGCGCATAGTCGCCAGTTTATACCGTTTACATGGTTCTTCGCTTCTTGAGTGTCCCTGGAAGAGTGTGGGTGCCGGAAAGGGCTTACTTGATCTCTGAGCTTGCATGGCCGTCGTGGGCCCGTTTCTGCTCGACGGGGTTCCTGGGCGGGGGGTCCTGGGCGGGGTCCTGGGCGGGGGGCTTCTGGGCGAAAGCCTTCGGCGAGAGCGCCGCCGCATCCTCACTGCTATCCGCAAGTGCGAGGTGCTGCGTATCTCTGCTCTTCTCTCCCTGTCCGAACTCCCTCCCTTGGAGCGCACGAGAGTCGTCGCGCCGCGCGAGGCGCAGCAGAGGAAGCAGCAGCAGCTGCTCCGGCAGCAGGAGCAGAGTGCTGCTGCGACGGTCGTGGAGCCCGCTGCTGCGCCTGAGATCTCCGCAGAGCAGCGGGAAGCACCGCCGAGATCCTTCGCGCGCCGGATCGTCTTTTCGTATAGGAGCCCAGGGCGCCGACAGGGGGGAGAAGGTGGCCTCCCAGTCACGGTGAGTAACTGGGAAAGGAAAGATGTGGCCGCTGGATGTGCCTCTTCCTGGGAGGTTCGGGGGAATTCGGATTGAGCACGACTTGCCTTGTTGCCTTGAGCAGTGGGATCCACTGCCTCATCTTCGTCGCCAGTCTCATCTGCAGTGCTGGGCTTTTAGGGGTATGTGCCAGGCCTCGGCTGGATCTGAAAGTCCACTGGGAGTCGTGGGAGTTTACCAGTAGCTATGCTGCGTCCTGGGCTTCAGATCACCTGCACCTTCATTTTTTTCTCTCTGTCGTCCCCTGTTTGGCCTCAATCGTCTTCGAACTCCACGGTCCCTCGTTGGCGACTGCTCTGTGACCAGCTGTGGCCCGTGCCAAAAACTGCGGCGCCTCAGGAATTCCCCATGCCTCCAGCAATCCATGCAGCCGCATGTTCTAGGCTGGCTGTCATCCAGAGTCACCTGAAGGAGAGGACATGCCAAAAGTGGAAGCAACCGAAGCAGGTATCTTAGATATCAAGGCGCAACCAAAGGACTGGCGTGCATGAGCTTGCGCCTGTCCGCCTGTCGGCCCGTGAGGTTTCTGCCACCAAAAAGCGGAGAAACGAGCACATATTGAGCTCTGTCCATGGTTTTAGCTTTCACCGTCAACTGTAACATTCTTGGCTGTCATAGGCGACGCGCAGAAGCCACCTGCCTTGCTAGCGGCCTCCGGGGGTCTCGTGCGGATGTGTGCACTTCGCGTGCCCCAGCAGATCAGCACCGTCAGGAGGTTGCATACAAAATCGAGACAACATCGGGTTACGGTAGGTTTATGCGGCGTTGGTGCGCTGGCGACGCCAGTGAAGGCGTTAATGGTTGAACTCCTGCGCCCATTCGCCACTGGGGGCGCACGGGAACACCGCATGACAGAACGACGCGGAAGCACCGAGGGACACGGTGACGCCACAGCACCCGACGGAATTCAACTTTGAACGACAGGGGCCGCGATCGGGTCAAGGAAGAACGATCGACGCGGTGTCGAAAACCTTTGCGCGCGCCGACGCCGCACGAACCTGCCGTACCAGCTCGAACAAGAACGGAGCAACCCCGGCATGGTAGCAACTGGTGCCTGTAGTAGATAATGACCTTGTTTTTGATCGAGTCGCAAGCGAAGAGAGAACGAGGCTACGCGTTTCGCCCACTTGGGGCTTTTCGGGCCAAATTGCATACGGTGTAGCATCGAAGTAGCATCGTCGACGAAGGGACAGGATGTGGAGCGGAGAGATGCAGTGTACAGTTTGGGTTTCAACAAAACCCGTTGATTTTTGAAACCATCAACGTACGTGGATCTTCCGTGAGCTCTCGGTTCTCTCGGGTAGCTCACTGGAGCTTGCGAGGCACTCTTTTAGGTTCCTTTAGGCACTTCTGAAGTCATTGTAGGGCAATCTCGGGCCCATTCTTCGGCTCGGACGTAGGCCCACTGGATGCCAAAAAGGCGAGAAGGCAGCGATTAAGGAACCGCTATATTCAATAACTTTTGCTTCTCGTAGGCCTATATGGGAGGCTCTGTGCCGTTTTTGGGGACTATCTAGGCGCCGAATTTTGGCCTCTTTGGACCAGGTTTGATACGAATTTAGATGAATGTTAGGGCATGCGCGGGCCCTCTCGTAGGGTATGTTTTGACCATATTCGGGCCATCTTCGAGAAGAGATCGGTGCGCTGCAAGGCGGAACAAGATGACGAACACGTCACATAACGGGTGCTCTACTCCGCTGCGGCGCCGATGAACAAGCCAAGGTGAACTAGGGGTTGTGTTGCAAGAGCTGGTGCTCTGAACCACCTGCGACTAGAGGGCTGGTGTAATTCAGAATCGATGCAGCGTGTTAGTGGTAGGTTCGATTCAGCGTGCTTGCGGTAGGTTGGAGACGAGACATGGTATATTTTCGGGCAGTCAGGTGAGTGAACATTGAGTGCTCTCGGACAAACAAGTTGGGCTCTGGACGGTCTGCCGGAGCGTCTGGGCCCTGCCCTAGCCACGCCGGCCAGGCCCGCATAGAGCAGAACCGCGCGCTGGCGGCTGAGAGGAGGCGGCTGCAGCAGCTGCGGGCGCAGTCGGCGTTGGGTGCGCAGGTGGGGGATGATGGGGGGAGAGGGAGCATCTGACATGACACCGAGCCCTGCGACACCGCAGGCTAAAGGTATTCACCGACGGACTGTTACGCAGATGTGGATCGGGTGTATGGCATTGAGGGCTCCGAGACAGTCGAAATAGTACGAGCTGCACGATGGCTTCGGGGCGTGAGCTTGGCCTTCATGCCGAGACGACTGCGCTAGTTTGGCTGGCTGATTCGTTTTGCAAGCACATTTCGTGAGTGTCCTTGTCCCTCACTGCCCCCTTTCCTCCTCGTTCACAGGCTCTGTTATCATAGAGGTAGGCGTTTTTGTTGACGCAGAGCCCTGAATGCTGCTCGCTACAGGCCCACGGGGTCGCCATGAGCCATCGGCGTTCTGACAACACATTGCACAATGCGCGCGCAATAGCGCCAGCGGAAGTCGGAAAGAAATGGTAAAGCATGTGATATGTCATGGCGAGGACGCCTCTGGCGAATCACCGCCGCCCTCTGCCGTTTCGGATACGCCTGTTTGATGACATGTGGAGTGAAATTGTGGCCACGCTAGTGGACTGCGTGTTCGCCCAGCCGTTGGAAACCACTCGGGCTGTCTTGGGGGCCGTTGTGGGGGCCTCGTGGGCCTTTGGTGCCCTCGTGGGCAGTCTTGGATCCTCTTGGATACCTCTTTGGCCGTCTTGGGGCCATCTTGGAGGAATCCTGGGCCGTGTTGGGTCGTCTTAGGATGGCGAAATCCCGAAATGGCTAGAAGGCGAATGGGTGCTGGAAGGTGAGGTTTGGTGTTTGGATTGTTTTTGTTACCTCTTGGGGTCCTCTGGAGGTCTTCTCGGATGCTTGTCGAGACGTCTTGGAGGCCTCCGGGACCGTCTTGAGGCTGCCGGGAGTCGCGTTGGGTGGGCCGTTCTCGGAAGCCATGTCGGCCTATCTTGGACATCTTGGAGGCGACTTCCAGGCTGTGCGGACTTCGGGTGGTTCCGTGGGGCTGCTGGGTCGGGCCGAAATCTACTTGGAACCTTTGGAATTGCCAACATTAGTTATAAAGTACGGCACGCTAGCACCCCTTCGCAGGTTACGGGGGCGGCGGATCGAGTATTCCTCCTGCGAGTCCTTGCCGCCCCCTGCTTGTGGAAACACCTGTGCGGTAACATGTCGAGCGAAGGTGCGGCCATGCTTGTGGTCTGCATTTTTCTTCAGCGCTTGGATTAAGCACTGGGGCACACTGGACAAGGCCCTCTGGCCCTGTTTTTGGGCTCTCTCGGGGCTCTTATCGTTCCTTTTTGGTTCAAGCAGGCAAGGCTCAGGGACTTGGCGTAGCAAGCATAGTGATTCGTCTTACAGCTAGCATGTAACGGACAGAGCGAGGTACGAGTGATGATCTGATGACGTTTTGGTGGGGCGAAGCCTTCTAGGGAGGGGTCTAGGGGAGGGGCGAGGGGGGCACGCCCCGGCGTTAATGGCCGCCGGGGGGCCGTTTCCCGCGTATTTTTCCGAGTGAAGCGGCTCGCGGGCGCCTTCCACGGCTCGTTTCCTGGTATTTGTCGATTGAAGCGGCTCCAGGGCTCTAAGACGGCCCAAGGGGGCCCCACAACGACCCAAAGACGGCCCCAAGAGAGCTTCGGCTGTCCTGCAGACGGTCCAAGAGAGCCTCGAGACGGCTCCAGAGACCTTCCAGAGGACCCTCGAGAGGGCCTCAGGAGCCCAAAAACATTAATTTCCCAAGGGTTTTTGAAGGTTTTTCGGGTCCTCGCCTGTTCGGGCCCAACACTGCCTATGAGGTCCCAAAGCTCGTCCTTAGACGGCCCCAGATGCCCCCAAAGAGGCGGACAACATCCACGAGGCGCCCAGACGGCCCAAAAGGGCCCCAAAACAGCTGCAGATGGCCCCAAGACGGCCCCGAGAGAGCCCCAAGACGGCCCCAAGAGAGCCGCAAGAGGCCCCCTAGAGGCCCCCAAGAGAGCTCCAAGACGGCCAAATGCTTCCAAGATGCCCTAGACGGCCCAAAAGGGCCCCAAGACGGCCTAGAATTGCCCCCAAAGGGGCCCTCGTTGCTGCTACGCTGAGAACGATACCAACACGACGTTTAAGAACCCACAAGAGGCCATCTACGAACACATACTCGTACGAATTTTCTGGCACATCGAAGGCATGAACATCTGGGGTGAGCAGGACATCAACCGAATACGAGGCGAGAGAATCGAGGATGTGTGCCATCTTGGCCCGATACGTGAGCTTGCTCCAATCAAAACCTTGCACATTCAGAATTCCAATGCGTAGTGATCGGCCCTCCCCCGTCAGTGGACGAGAAGGTCGCCAAGGATAACGAATTCGTAGAGGATCCCGCCCCGTGCCAACAATATCAGACATGTTGCAAGATCGTAAGCAAGGGGTCCCCGAGCCCGACTACCCTGTCTGAATGCCGCTCGTCCGGAGACAGCAGCTCTTCGCGGGCGCCAGGGCGCCACGACCCGCGCAGCGTGTGAAAGCAGACCTCAGCATCTGCGAGGTGGGGGGACCCTTCGTCGGAGTCGCCGATGCCAGACAAAATAATTATCCTGGCGAAGGACCCAACCATATGCAGTTGTGGGTACCGCAATTGTGAACATCTTCTTCGGTAAAACTCCCTATGGGGCCACGAAGCGCTGCACTGGGTGGGGGGTAACGCTGTTCTGGGTGAGTGGTGTGTCAAGTGAGGTTTCCGGGACGCGTGCGGACGGTCCCACTGGGGGCTTCGGTGGAGCTCCCTATGGGGCCACGAAGCGCTGTATTGGGTGGGTGAAAATGCCAAATTGGGCTTCCGGGACGCATGCGGACGGTCGCACTGGGGGTTTCGGTGGAGCTCCCTAAGGGGCCACGAAACGCTGTATTGGGTGGGTAAAAATGCCACGTTGGGTTTTCGGGACTCATGTGGACGGTGGCACTGGGGCCTTCGGTGGAGTTCCCTACGGGGCCACGAAATTCTGGACTGGGTGGGTGAAAATGCCACAGTGGGTGTTTCGGGACGCTTGCGGACGGTCCCACTGGGGCCTTCGGTGGAGCTCCCTGTGGGGCCACGAAGCGCTGCACTGGGTGGGTATAAATGCCACATTGGGTGTGCGGGATGCATGCGGACGGTGGCACTGGGGCCTTCGGTGGAGCTCCCTGTGGGGCCTCGAAACGTTGTAATGGGTGGGTGAAAATGCCAAATTGGGTGTTTCAGGACGCACTCGGACGGTCCCACTGGGGGCTTCGGTGGAGCTCCCCTTGTGGCCACGAACCGCTGCACTGAGTGGGGGGGACGCATGTGGACGGTAGCACTGTGAGCTTCGGTGGGGCTCCCTATGGGGCCCCGAAGCGCTGTACTGAGTGGGGGGGACGCATGTGGACGGTGGCACTGGGGCCTTCGGTGGAGCTCCCTATGGGGCCACGAAGCGCTGTACTGAGTGGGGGGGGACGCATGTGGACGGTGGCACTGGGGCCTTCGGTGGAGCTCCCTATGGGGCCACGAAGCGCTGTACTGAGTGGGGGGGACGCATGTGGACGGTGGCACTGGGGCCTTCGGTGGAGCTCCCTATGGGGCCACGAAACGCTGTACTGAGTGGGGGGGACGCATGTGGACGGTGGCACTGGGGCCTTCGGTGGAGCTCCCTATGGGGCTGCTGGGTGGGGGGGACGCATGTGGACGGTGGCACTGGGGCCTTCGGTGGAGCTCCCTATGGGGCCACGAAACGCTGTACTGAGGGAGGGGACGCATGTGGACGGTGGCACTGGGGCCTTCGGTGGAGCTCCCTATGGGGCCACGAAGCGCTGTACTGAGTGGGGGGGACGCATGTGGACGGTGGCACTGGGGCCTTCGGTGGAGCTCCCTATGGGGCCACGAAGCGCTGTACTGAGTGGGGGGGACGCATGTGGACGGTGGCACTGGGGCCTTCGGTGGAGCTCCCTATGGGGCCACGAAACGCTGTACTGAGTGGGGGGGGACGCATGTGGACGGTGGCACTGGGGCCTTCGGTGGAGCTCCCTATGGGGCCACGAAACGCTGTACTGAGTGGGGGGGACGCATGTGGACGGTGGCACTGGGGCCTTCGGTGGAGCTCCCTATGGGGCCACGAAACGCTGTACTGAGTGGGGGGGACGCATGTGGACGGTGGCACTGGGGCCTTCGGTGGAGCTCCCCATGGGGCCATGAAACGCTGTACTGACTGGGGGGGCGCATGTGGACGGTGGCACTGGGGCCTTCGGTGGAGCTCCCTATGGGGCCACGAAACGCTGTACTGAGTGGGGTGGACGCATGTGGACGGTGGCATTGGGGCCTTCGGTGGAGCTCCCTACAGGGCCACGAAACGCTGTACTGAGTGGGGGGACGCATGTGGCCGGTGGCACTGGGGCCGTCGAGTTGGAGCTCCTATGGGGCCACGACGCGCTGTACTGAGTGGGGGGGCACGCATGTGGACTGGTGGCCACTGGGGCCTTCGGTTGAGGCTAACTGTGGGGCTACGACGCGCTGTAATGCCGTGGGTGAAAAACTACGGGAAGAGGGGGAGGAGCGAAGAAGGAGGGCGGAGGGGGAGGAGGAGAGGAGAGGGAGGAGGAGGGGAGAGGAGAGGCAGAGGAGAGGATGAGGAGAAGAGGATGAGGAGGGAGGGAGCGGAGAGGAGAGAGAGGAGAGTAGAGGAGAGGAAGAGGAGAGGCGAGGAGGAGCGGCGAAGGAAGGAGTGAGGAGGAGGAGGAGGAGGAGGAGGAGGCGGGGAGGCGGAGAGGAGGAGGGGAGGAGGAGGAGAGAGGGGGAGGCGGAGGAGGAGGAGGCGGAGGAGGAGGAGGAGGAGGAGGATGAGGAGGAGGAGGAGGAGGAGGAGGGGAGGAGGGGGAGGAGGAGGAGGAGGAGGAGGAGGAGAGGAGGAGGAGGAGAGGAGGAGGAGGAGGGAGGAGGAGGAAGGAGGAGGAGGAGTAGGAGGAGGAGGAGGAGGAGGAGGAGGAGGGGGAGGAGGGCGAGGAGGAGCGAGGAGGATGAGGAGGAGGAGGCAGGTGGAGGTGGGGAGGAGAAGGAGGAGGCGGAGGAGGAGGCGGAGGAGGAGGGCGGAGGAGGAGGAGGAGGAGGAGGAGGAGGAGGAGGAGGAGGAGGGGAGGAGGAGGTGGAGGAGGAGGTAGGAGGAGGAGGAGGGAGGAGGAGGAGGAGGAGGAGGAGGAGGAGGAGGAGGCGGAGGAGGAGGAGGAGGAAGGAGGAGGGGCGGAGGAGGAGGAGGAGGAGGAGGAGGAGGAGGAGGAGGAGGAGGAGGAACGCGGGGACAGTCTCTTCAAAACGAGGACCCAACAACACAGGTTGGCTGGGAAAAACTTTCATGTCGCCGACCCGCTTCTCCCTGCCGCACAAGTCAGAGCGGTTCCCCCCCAGCAGGGTCTCGAGAACGTGCGGCTCAGTCGTGGCAGCCTCCAGCGACGGTCTGACTGCCTCCCGCACCTGGGCGAACTGCTCGGCTAGGAGTATCTCCTTGACCAGGCTGATGGCCCCCTCCAGGCCGAGCTGCGACGACTTTTTGCACCCGGCGGCGGCCAATCCGCCGCCCACGGGGTGAATTGAGATTGGCCGCGCGAGCCTGACGGTGTCCTGCGCCAGGGGGCCCTCGACTCGGGGCCCGCCGCCTCGACCTCTGCCACCACGGCCTGCGCCCCGGGCTTTGCCAGTGCCGAGCTGGCCTGGCCCGACTGCGGACGTTCCGGCCGTGCCCGCAGCTGCCACGCTTGACGCACCCTTGCTGGGCGCTCGGGCTGTGGAGACCGAGCCGCTGCGGGCGCGTGGCGGGCCCGTGGCGGTACTCTGCTGAGCCTCGCCGTGGTGGCCCGCGAGGAGGCGCCTCGCCGCCTCCAGCCGCAGCAGCGAGCGCGCCGAGGCCCGCGCGCGCCGCTCTCTCCTGTGGAAGGCAGGCGAGCGGGAGCGGCCGCGCCGCGCCTCGCCACCAGCCACTATCGCGCGCACCGCGGCCCGCGCGGTCGGGCCCGCGGCGTCTGGGGGCTCTGCCTCGGCCCGGGTGAGGCCGCGCCTGCAGAGCCAAACCTACGATGATGCTGCTGCTGATGATGCTGATGATGATGTTGATGCTGATGATGATGCTGCTGCTGCTGCTGATGATGATGATGATGATGATGATGATGATGATGATGATGAGGAGGAGGAGGAGGAGGAGGAGGAAGAGGAGGAGGAGGAGGAGGAGGAGGAGGAGGAGGTTGTGTACTGATACCAATGTTAGTGGTAATGCATTCGAAGAAGGATGATAATCGTAATAATGACACGGATGACGATCATGCTCCAACTAAGCATGGTAGACATAACGTTGCGATCAATACTATTCACAACATAGCGAATAGCGACTACCAATCATGACACTACAAATAATACTATCAATATTGCTACAACGGAAAAACAGGTCTACAACTAATACTACTACGAGTACGGATGCTAGTGCAAATAAAAAGACGACGAGGATGCCGACCACGACGATGAGGAGAGGAGGGAACGGAAACGGACAACGATGAGGGCAAAGACGAGGAGGAGGAAGAGCAGAAGGAGGAGGAGGAGGAGGAGAAGGAGGAGGAAGACAACGATGACAGAACTCTCGAAATCGCCTCTTGGAGCCCTCTTGGGGCCCCTTTGAGGGATCTTCGGATGCTCTTGGGGCTCTTCTAAGGGGCCTCGGGGCCCTCTTGTGGCCCTCGTGGACCCTTCTCGTGGGTCCCTTAAGACCCCTGGAGGGCCTCTTGAAAACTGGCCTACTCTGGTTTGGTGCCTTTCGTTTACTTGGGGTTACCCGACCGCTTGGTTGTGGCCCAATGTCCTAAGTCGTGCTTCTAGGAGTTGCGCTTCCCAATAGTGCGCGATTGCCCCAAAAGGGGGGGAGCAAGGGGGAGTCCGACGTCGGCGCCGCGCTGCTGGGGCCCGTGGCGGTCGACGTGGTCGAGTGCGAGGGCACCGCGGCGCAGGGCGGCTTGCAAGGTTCCTTGGGCTGCACAAAGCTCGGGGCCGCAGGGGACTGTCGCATGCTGTATCCTCCCTGTGGCCCTCTGGTGGTGCGTCCAGATCGGATTTGAGTACGGCTGGCCTGTGGCGTCCCGTGCCTCGTGTCCGACGGCACTTGGCAGATCCAGTATTGATCGCTTGTTTCGGATTTCCCTGCGCGGTTCAGTTTCGAGCAGGCCCTTCGCGTCCAGTGCTTTGACGAGCTGGCGGCGACGACGCCGATGAACGTCGTCGTCCATCGTCGCCGCCGCCGCCGCCGCCACCGTCGTCGCCGCCGTCGTCGTCGTCGTCGTCGTCGTCGTCGTCGTCGTCGTCGTCGGTGGTCGTCGTCCGCCGTCGGTCGTCGTCCCTCGTCGTCGTCGTTGCCGTTGTTTTAATCTTCGTCGTCGTCGTCCGCCGTCGCCGTCGTCGCCGTCGTCGTCGTCGTCGTCGTCGTCGTCGTCGTCGTCGTCGGTGGTCGTCGTCCGCCGTCGGTCGTCGTCGTCGTCGTCGTCGTCGTCGTCGTCGTCGCCGTTGTTTTAATCTTCGTTGTCGTCGTCCGCCGTCGCCGTCGTTGTCGTCGTCGTCGTCGTCGTCGTCGTCGTCGTCGTCGTCGTCGTCCGCCGTCGCCGTCGTCCCTCGCCGTCGCCGTCGCCGTTGTCGTCGTCGTCGCCGTCGTCGTCGTCGTCGTCGTCGATAGTCGTCGTCGGTCGTCGTTACTCGCCTCTCTCCTGGCCTGGCCAAGTGGTGGCCCAGGCCACAGCACCGAGAACTGCTCGACGTCGGTGCCGAGCTCCACAGAGGCGGGGTCAGCCCCCTACCCGCTGGGCATGTGATGAATTCCTCGAGCAATGGATTGATTATTCGATGGCTCCGAACAGTGTTTTTAGAAATGCATGCTGTGCAATGCTTGCTGTGCAATCGATGTGGATCTATATGGTTATGTTGTATATATATATACGTATGTATGTATGTATGCATGTATGTATGTACGTATGTATGTATGTATGTACGTATGTATGTACGTATGTACGTATGAACATACATACGTATTTACGTATGTATGCATGTATGTATGTTTGTATGTATCTATGTATGTAAGTATGTAAGTATGTATGTATGTAATGTATGTATGTATGTATGTATGTATGTATGTATGTATGTATGTATGTATGTATGTATGTATGTATGTATGTATGTATGTATGTATGTATGTATGTATGCATGTATATATGTATGTATGTATGTATGTATTCATGTATGTATGTACATATACTCATATATATATATAGATGTATAGGTGTTGCAATCTATGTGATGCAATATAGGCGGTGCAGTATATGTGGTACAACCCAGGTGGTGCGATGTGCATTCTGCCATCTGTGTTGTGCCATATTGCGACCTATGTTGTGCAGTCTATGTAGTGCAAAACATGTTGGGCAGTCTATGCGGAACAACCTATGTGGAGCCGTCCGTGTGGTGAAATGTATTTGGTGCAGTCTGGGTGGTGCAATACATGTGGTGCGATCTGCGCTGTACAGTCTATGTGGTGCAATTGACTACCCTGCACCGCGCTTGACCACCTCCACTGCTCGCGCAAACATCCCACCCTCCCACCCGCAACTTGCTTGGCAAAACTCATGATGCGGGGGACGGCGGTGCCAGCGATGACGACATCGATGATAACATCCTCACTGCCGATGCTCGTCACCATGAGTCGATGATGAAGGTGAGCATTTCGACGATATTCGGACGTGCGCGATGACAAAATTACGTCGGCAACGTCTGCGACAATGACGAAGATGGCACCATCGACGACGACGTTCAAGAGGGCGACGGCACGAACGATAACGGCGCCAATGATGGCAAACACGTTGACGATGCTGATGCCCATCTGTCGATGAGGCAGCTGCTCGCGGTTATGCTGACAAGGTTGAAATGGAAATCCGCGCGCGCGGAAGTTCAACATATCCGTCATTTCAAGGGATTCGCGCCCTCGGCGCATGACAGGAGTATCGCCGGTGCACCGCGCGGTGACATGAAATCGCTGGGTTTGGCAGAACTCATAATAATCCTATAGTTTTTGGTATGCTTTTAGCATGAGCGCTCGGACAGGAAATCTGCAACATTTGTGTTGTTAAACCCTATGGTTTAGGTCTGTGTGCTGAAGTGCTTGCAAACACATGGCGTTTGGTACGATTTCGGCATGGATAGGCGCGTGTAAACTTCGTCCCATTTTTTGCAAGGGGCTTTTGAATATTTATGATTTCTATAAACGTACGCGCGCTCGTCGTTTTTTATTGAGAATGGCGGGGGGGGAGTGGTGCTGGTATGGCAGGGATAGCATGAATCCATACTTACGGTGGACGATGGGGCAGAATCATATGTAACGTGCAATACGAAAAAGGGGGCCCGTCGTTAACTCCGTGGGTGGGGTAGTGGTGGTGTGGGGGGGGTGATTTTATCTTTTCAAGAGAGGAGCATCCATGTGGTGGAATATATGCGGTGCAATCTGTGTGGTGCAATCTATGTGGTGCAACCAGTTTCTGTTCGCAGTGAGTTGTCCACTCCATTGTTCGCGCATGCATCCCACCCGCCCGCCCGCAACCTCGATTTGCAAAACCTCTTAAAACAGTGACGGTGGGTGCCAAATGGCACTTGGCAGCGACGCCGACGCCGACGACGACAGCGACAACGACGACGACGCCGCTAACAACGTCTACGACGACACCGGCGACGTTTCCAACGACTTCGACGACGCCGGCCACGACGACGACGACGACGACGACACCGACGACGACGACGACGCCGACGACCGACGTCGACGCCGTCGATGACAACGACGTCGACGACGCCGACGACGACGACAGCGCCGACGACGACGACGCCGACGACGACGACGAAGACGAGGACGACGACGTCGCCAACGTAGACGACGACGACGAGGGAGGAGGGAGGACGACGACGGCGGCAACGACGGCAACGACGAGGGAGGAGGGAGGACGGCGACGACGCGAACGACGAAAAACGAGGTTGGACGGCGACGCCGACGACGACAACGACGAGGGAGGACGGAAGACGACGACGACGACGACGACGGGGACGAAATAGGAGGGACAACGACGAAACGCCGACGAAGACGACGAGGGAGGAAGGACGACCACGGCGACAATGACGACGACGCCAAGACGACGACGACGACGACGACGACGACGACGACGACGACGACGAGGAAAAACAGAGGACAACGATGGCGACGACGACGACGACAAGGCAGGAGGGAAAACAGCGACGACGACGACGACGACGACGCAAGAGCGCGCGCGCACGCTTTTGTTGAAAATCCGTGTTGCGAAACCTTTTTTTGTATGTTTTTTGGACACTCGATTTTGCAATCCTTCTGAAACCGAAGGTTTTTGAAGGATTTCGACATGCGCGCGCGACGACGCGCGCTTGCGCACTTCGTCCGATTTCTTGCATAGGGTTCTCGCGACGGCACGCGCGCAAGGGCGTCGGAAAGATTTCGACACGCGCGCGCGCGAGACCCGCTTGGTAGCATGTTTTTTTTTCTTGTTAAAAAAAAGATTTCGCAATAGCGCGCGGGCGTAATTGTTTTGTTGCAAATCAGTGTTGCGAAGCCATGTGTTTTTGTATGTTTTTTTTGGGGGGGGAATCTCGGTTTTGAAATCCCTTCGGAATCGAAGCTTTCTGAAGAATTACGGCATGCGCGCGGGACGGCGCGCGCGTGTGCACTTCGTACAATTTGTTTTGCAAGGTGTTTTTGACAACCTATGATTTTTGATAACGAGAGTGCGCGTATAGTTTTTGTGCAGGGGATGGCGGGGGGGCGATGCCGGCCTGGCTGGGATAATATGAATCTACAGGCAGGATGGACGATGGCGCAGGGTCATATGTAAAGTACAAAACGAAAAAGGTGACCCGTTAACTCCGGGGGGGGTCGAGTCGTTTTTTTGTATTAGAAAAAGAAATGATAATCTCTGCGGTGCAGTCTATGCGAAGGTGCGACGAGGCGGCGACGTCGACGACGGGGCGGCGACGGCGAGCACTGGAGCCGCCAGACCGCCACCCAGGCCCAGACGACGGGCGGCGACGAGGAGGCGGCGACGGCGAGCACGAAGCTGCCAGACCGTCACCCAGGCCAAGTTCCTTAGACCACAAGTAAGAAGCCCAAGTGCAAACAATATTTGGGTACTAGTCTTTCGGAGGTCCGCGCGGATTTCTCGGATCGGCGCCTGGGACCCCGTGGCTGCGCCTCTGGCGGCGCCCTTGGCGTCCTCCGCGCGCCAGGCAGCAGGAGTCCAGCGCCGATCCAAGAAATCCGCGCGGCGCTCCGAAAATTCATGCTTATGCGTTATTTTTCTTCCTCTATTTATCGACGACGCCTACGGCGAATTCACCGCCGCCCCCTGCCCTTTGGAAGCGCCTGTGTGGCCCACAGCTGGGCTATAGCTTGGCCAAGCTATCGGGCCAGTTGTTCTCCGAGTCGCTTTGGAAAACCTTCGGGGAACGCGTGGGGGGAGCAAGGGGAGGAGGATCAGGAGAGGGAGGATGATGATGATTAAGATGAGGATGATGATGCGGATGCAGATGAGGATGCGGATGAGATCGTTACCTGTTACCGCCTTACTGGAAACGCTTTTGTGGCCGCAAATAGGGTCAGAGCTTGACCACACTATCGGAGGAAACGCATCTGCGACCGAACGTGGTAGCTAGAGCTTGGCCTAGCTGTTGGACCACGTGTTCCCCGAGGTGGTCAGGATGGAATTCGGAGAACGCGCGTGGGAGGAGGATGAGGATGAGGATGAGGATCATGATGAGGATGATGATGAGGATGATGATGAGGATGAGGATGCGGATGAGGATGAGGGTGAGGATGCGGATGAGGATGAGCAGGATCAGGAATAGGAGGAGGAGGCGGATGTGGAGGAGTACAAGGAGGAGGAGGATGAGGAGCAGGAGTAGGCGGCGGAGGAGGAGAAGGAGGAGGAGGAGAAGGATGAGGACAAACAGGAGGAGGAGGAGGAGGAGGGCGGAGGAGGAGGAGGAGGCGGCGGCGGAGGCGGAAGCAGAAGCGGAGGAGGAGGAGGAGGAGGCGGAGGAGGAGGAGGAGGAGGAGGAGGAGGAGGAGGAAGCGGAGGCGGAGGCGGAAGCAGAAGCGGAGGAGGAGGAGGAGGAGGATGAGGAGGAGGAGGAGTAGGAGGAGGAGGAGGAGGAGGAGGAGGAGGAGGAGGAGGATGAGGATGGGGGGGTGCTCTTGGGAGCCTCTTGGGGCACTCTTGGGGCTTCCTGGGAGCTTCCTAGGGGCCTCTTCGAGGCCTCTTGGCGGCCTCCTTGGGCCTATTGGGGCATTTGGGGACTTTGTCTTGTAGGCTTCTTGGGCGGACTTCGAAACATCTTGGACCTTGTTGGGGCGTTTTGGAGGCCATCTTGGGCTCTCTTGGGCCGTCTTGGAGGACATCTTAGGCCATCTTGGGCGAACTTGGAGACCTCTTGGGGCCGTCTTGACTGCTTCTTGGGCCGTCAGGAGGTCATCTTGGAGGCCTTTGGAGCCATCTTGGCGCGATATTGGGAGCCTTTGGGGCCGTTCTGAGCCGTCGGAAGGCAGAAAAGAAGCACATCCCCAAATCTTTAACAACAACCTAAGGACAACCAAGTATCTTGGCTTCTTCGGGTCCTCCTAGAAACCTCTTGGATGCCTCTTGGGCCGTCTTGGACGCTTTTTAGGGGCTTCTTGGGCCGTGTGGCAGTCGGCCTGGAGGAAAGCGTCCAGGAGGCAGCGCTGGGACATGTGGTGGAGCTCCTTATGGGGCGAGCTGTGTTTCTGTAGAGACGAAGTGCTAGCCACGCTTGGACGACATTCTAATTATCCTTGTGTCCAAGTGTTTGTTTGGAGTCTGGATGAGAGGGCCAGGTGCCGCCGCTACTTCGCCGCTACGAAAGTTCGGCCAAAATTCAACGCCTCCCGTTCGGCGACGGGGCCCCAGTACAACGTTGGCAGTGGGCCCGTTAGGCCGCGAGGCCCCAGTCCAATGTTCGGTTGAAGCATTTTTCGCTCCATTCTCGGGCGGCACCGCCCTTTCGAAATCGAGCCCGCGGGTTTCGAAATCCAGTCGAGCTCGTTTTGGGGAGGAAATCCGAGGCGAAAGCCGCATTTCGAAATCGAGCCCGAGGGTTTCGAAATCCAGTCGAGCTCGTTTTGGGGAGGAAGTCCTAGGCGAAAGCCGCATTTCGAAATCGAGCCCGAGGGTTTCGAAATCCAGTCGAGCTCGTTTTGGGGAGGAAGTCCTAAGCGAAAGCCGCATTTTCGAGTTTTCGGGTCAGGGCTTTAAACATTTGAATGCCACACGGTGTGGCCATTTCGAAACGGCGGTTTCGCTTGAGACTTCTTCAAACAATGACTTCGAACGATTTCGAAACTGTCGGGTTCGATTTCGAAATGGCGCTCCCGCCTAGGACTTCCGCAAACATAGAATTCGAAGCCTTTCTGCTTCGATTTCGAAATGGCGCTCCCGCGCAGGACTTCCTCAACAATATAAGTCGGAACCTTTCTGCCTCGATTTCGAAATGGCGCTCCCGCACAGGACTTCCTGCAACATGAGGTTCGGCATTTGTTCCGTTCGAACTCGAAATGGCGCTCCCGCCCAGGACTTCCTCCAAACAGAATTCGAAACTTTCGGGTTTGATTTCAAAATGGCGCTTCCGCCCAGGACTTCCTCAGGCTTTGGAGCGATGCTCACGGCCGTCGTGGTGTTCATAACCAATGTGATGCTCAGGCGTTGTTTAGCTGAAAACACAAAACGGGTCAAAACTTTCGTAGCGCCGATGTATTGGTCACTCACCAGCGTCGGCTCGTGGCCAGGGTTTTTGGCCAAGACCCCCTCTTTGCCCGCGACGAGTGGGCTCTCGGCGCGCCTTCTTCCAAGAGCAGGCGCTCGGCTACAAAAGGCCAGCGCCGCTGGCGCCGCGGCCATCGCGCTCCTTGTCGCCACAGGGTGAGCGCGCGCCGCGCACTCCTCGTCGACACCTCTCACCAGAGGTTCAGCCCCAGTCTCCTTCTCGCGAAGCCGAGTACGATGAGGACAGCGCTGCTCGTGGCTCGAGCTGGAGGCCGACACCACCCCGCCCTTCGGCACCGCGCCCATTCTGGACGAGGACACGAGCCATGGCGCCCATCGGTTCTCGCGGGCACGCCACTGTGGTGTCTGGCAAGGGCAAGTGCAAGGACAAGAGCAAGAGGGAGTCCGTGCCAGAGACCGACGCCGACCTGCCCAAGATGAAGAAGAATATGAAGAAGAAGGAGAAGAAGAAGGACACTAATCATAATACACTGAGGGCAGGGGGGGGTTCAAGCGCCGGCGCGCTAGCGCTGCCCTCCGCGCGGCTGCCGCCGGCGAGCCACGCCAGCGCTCGCTCACGGGCAGTGCCGAGGCCGAGGAGGCAGAGGCCGCCGGCACGCCCAGCGAGGAGGAGGATGCTTTCGGACGTGGACGGAGAGTCTCCCGTATTTCGTGATTGCGGTGGGCCTCGAGGGGATCTTGCCAAAAAGTTCCCTCATAGCTCTTTGGAGAGCTAGGAGGGTTGTTGATCAGAAGCCGGCAGGCACAGCTACGCCAGCTCCTGTCCAAGGCTCCCGGTCAGGTATCCTCGCAGCAACTTGCTTGAGTCTCCACCGTGTTCCGGGGAGCGTTTTCCTACTCGTCCCCAGTGCGCGTGCCTGAAGCCTTTCCGCAGGTCCTTCGCAGCTCCCTCGAAGTTCCTTCGAAGCTCGCTTTTCGAAGCTTGCAAGCTCCCCAGGCATTCTTCTTAACGTCCTGGCAAGCGTCTCCCGCAGGCATTTTCTCAAGTTGGCAAGCTCCCCGGGCATGCTTTCCAGTGTTCCTGCCAGCGTCCCCCATCGGCGTTTTGAGCGCTTGGACTGCGTCGCTATCCGGGTTTTTGATTCCACAAATGCGCGCATCCCTCGAGGTCTGTTTCCATCCATCACTTTCTTCCACCCACCAGGCCAAGGCGTCCACACTTCGGCCTTCATGTGGCCCCGGGGCAGTAACTTTGCCTATGTCTTATGACAGGCTTTCAGACACCACATCTGCGGACCGGTGTCACCAACATACGCATATGCTGCCTGGGATAACTCACGCCGCCATCACTCACGTGTGTGAGCTCCTCCAGTGCAGCTCCTAAGAGCATGAACGAGCTGCCCGTTAAGAAGGGCGAGCCCGCGCCCCGCCGCGTCGCGCGCTCCCCAGGTCAGACGCGGACGGGGTCTCCCTGCTGAGTCCCGAATGCGCTGGAGTTGGACGGTCCTGGTTTACTTCCTTCTGTATATTTGTTCTCAGCCAGAGCTGTTCGATCGCCCGCGCACCCCCGACTCAAACAGGAGGTTTCGCCGCTGTTTGGCCCAAGCGCCGGCGCATATTTGTATATCGTACGGAAAAGAAGATCAATTTCAATCAACATCTTATTGCCGCCATGCTTTATCTCGCGCAGCTTCCAGTTCCCCCGATTTTCTTCCTCATCCTCCTCCTCCTCATCCTCCTCCTTTTCCTCCTCCTGCTCTCCTTCCTCCACCTCCTCTTCTTGCTGCTGCTGCTGCTCCTCCTCCTCCTCCTCTTCGTCGTCCTCCTCCTTCCCGCCCTTCCGTCGTCCTCGTCGTCCTCCCCCTCTTTTGCGTCGCCGCGGGGCAGGATTCCGACGACTCCGAGGATTCGTCGGCAGAGAGCTCCAGCGACGAGTTCGGCGCTCGGGAGCGGGCCCCGTGCGCGGGGTAGGGCTTTGGGCTTCGATCGGAACCCTGCCGTTCGGGAAGGGCCGACACCCATGGGAAAGGCACGCAAGGGGGACGAGGAGGATGGGGCGGAGGCGAGGGAGAAGAGGAGGAGGAGGAGGATGAGGACGAGGAGGAGGACGAGGAGAAGGAGGAAGAGGAGGAGGAGGAGGAGGAGGAGGAAGAGGAGGAGGCGGAGGAGGAGGAGGAGGAGGAGAAGGGGTTGGAGGAGAAGGTGGAGGAGGAGGAGGAAGCTGAGGAATATGAAGAGGAGGAGGAGGAGGAGGAGGAGGAGGAGGAGGAGGAGGAGGAGGAGGAGGAATAATAATATTCCCAATGCGAATACTAGCACAAGTAGTTAGAGTATTACGTATCCTAAGAAGAGTCGTAACATAACAATAATAACGATATGAGCAGTGCTACCACGACAAATCACAATACGAACGAATCATGGTACTAATAATGAAAATAATACTATGCATAATCATACGAACGGTTACACTACTGAGAGGAATCATATTAAGAATAATACGAAGAAGACCAAGAAACATAAGACCAGGAATAATATTACGAATAATGTTAATAGTAATACGATGAATGATATTATTAAAGCGAACGCTACTCGTACTAAGCGTAAACATAATAATACGTAGGAGCATATTAAACCAAACACTAGCAACATTGAACACAATAATACAACTCATAGCAATACGAATACTAGTGATATGATTAAGAAGTATATTAATAATACTAGTACTAGTAATAATACGGACAATACGACGAATATGACGAGCAAGCATAATACTGGCACGAATAATACGATGACTAATTAACATCTGGCATACCACGACGAAGTATGATCACAATCTAATCATCAGTATTCATAAAGTATTATTAGTACTATTGAAACTAATAGTTCGCAGTAAATCACTAATCGTAATACTAGCAACAGAGTTGTTATTGAACAATAAAAGTATTACCAGTACACTACTACTACTACTACTACTACTACTACTACTACTACTACTACTACTACTCCTACTCCTACTCCTACTCCTACTACTACTACTACTACTACTACTACTACTACTACTACTACCATTGATACGAACAATAATAACAATGATCGCAGTGGACTGAACGCGGCTGGGGATTCCCTTTAGATCCCGGCATCCCTCCTCTTATACACCTTATTTGGGCAGATAATATTTATATTTTCGCTTCGAGTTTGACCGAATTCCAGGACATGGCGCAGGAACTCACCGAGGCGATCGCCGCGATTGGTTTCAAGTGGAAGGCTTCTTCGCTACAGTGTATGATATGTGGAATCGCTTCGGGGGCACCGCAACCACAGCCACCTATCGTGCACCAGGTCGGAGGCGCCCTGACATTCAACCTGGTGAAAAACATGGAAGTGTTAGGAGTGATGGTGAGCACGGAGGCGGATTCCACCGCCAGCTTGGAGCACAGACTGACAAAAGCTGAGGGCACGTATTGGTGCAACGCTCGTGTTCTACGGGGCCCAGGACCGCTTTTAGATAAGCTCCGCGCGTGGGGCAACGGGCCGGCAGCCAGTGCAGCACACGGTTCGGCCACGTGGCATCTAGCCAAACATGTATTGATGAGGTTGCGCCGTTGGGAGTTGTCCTTCTTGCGCAAAATGTTCGGGCTCCGGTGGCGGCCGCTAGAAGGCCAAGCTGCGTTCATGATCCGGACGGCGAGGCAGATAGAGAAGTGGTTTGGAAACACGGGTGTACGACCTGAACATTTGAGAGTGCTCTGGATGGTCTTCAAATCAGCATGGCGTGAAAGAGCTTTGTCCAAACAATGGCCACAATTACTTACAGCAGGCCCGCATACATCGTAGCAGAAAGTACAGGGTAACAGCGTATACGATTTCTAGTTTCAAACGTCGTCGACAAGAGGGTCTCGTACACTCTAGCATGGGGCACCGCGTGGAATGGGAAGATGTCTTTGTTTCTGCGTTTGGCATCGCCTTGCGAGACTTCCGTGACAAATGCTGTGTACTTTCTGACTGGATGAAGATGTACCCGGAGTTCGAGCAGCGCATCTGTACCGCATGGGACTTATTCCATGTTCAACGACCCCCTAGCCCGCCGGAGCACTTCGCCATCTCCGGCACCGCGCCAAAGCGCCAGCGACCGGCCGACCACGAGTTGGAGGAGCTGCCGGACCAACATGGGGAAGGAGCGCCAGAGCTGCAGTTCCAGAGCGGACCGCGCAGATTTGCAATAGTCACCGACTGCCAACCGATGGCGGGCGTAGCCAACGGGGAAATCGCATTGACCGATCCTCAACTCGAACCCCTGTTCGTCAGAGTGGCCCAACGTATATTTCAAATATTGGACAAGGGTTGGAGGCCTGCTCAGGACATCGATGACGCCGTTCACTGGAGACCGCGGGAGTGGAATAAAATCGCGGATTATCTGGCAAACCCTACGATGGACAAGCGAAGGTCATGGTGCCACCGGTTTCACATACCAGGCGACGTGTGTTTAGATCATGTCAGTTTGTTGCTGCACGTCGACGGCGGGACCCGGGCAGGCGCATGCTCGGCAGCCGCGTGGTACTTAGAGGGTGTTGTTTCAGCTCGCACGGAGGGGGCCATATTTTCAATTGCTATGTCTGGCACGTTTCTGCGACAGCCAGTTTCATCTTTCACTGCAGAGGCCATTGCCTTAGACGAGGCTGTACAGGCATTGGCAACCACAGCCGCCTAGCGAAAGGCTAACGGCCGTCAGCACGCTGACCCAGGCCCCGGGGAAAGAAGAAAGAAATAACAATGATCGGAACGGTATTCCTAATTCTATTATTGTTACTGTTGCTCATACTGTCAATAACATTATTCGTAGTCGTTTTAATAGTAACACTAAGACTACCACACACATTCTTACTTATGTATAGTATTATTAATGCCAGTAATACAATTGATCATAACACCAATACTAATACCAATCATAAGAACAATAGGAAGAGGAGGAGGAGGAGGAATATGAAGAGGAGGGCAAGGGGGAGGAGGAGGGGGAGAAAGAGGATGATGATGATGAGGATGATGAGGATGATGATGATGGTGATGAGGATGCTGATGATGACGATGATGATGATGTTGTTGATGATGATGAGGAGGAGGCGGAAGAGGAGGAGGAAACTGAAGAGGGAACGGAAGAGGATGAGGAGGTGAAAGCGGAAGAGGAGGAGGTAGAGGAGGAGGAGGAGGCGGAAGAGGAGGAGGAGGAAGATGAAGAGGAGGCGGAAAAGGAACAGGAGGAGGTGGAGGAGGAATAGGA